AATTCCACTCACGCGTTTACAGTGAAAGCTGCGGTGAGAGGAAAAAAAAATGACGATGATATGACGCTTGAACGGACACCCCCTCAAGAAAAGGAATACTTTCAGAATCTTTCGAAGATCTCATGCTTTATTGGTTTCATGCTCGCGCACTGTCGACTTTCACCAAGGCGCCTTTATTTTGTTTCTCTTTTTCGAAACGCCTCTTCGTGCCTCGCTGAACAAAACGCGCATATTTAAGAATTCAACTGATTGCGAGTCTCTCCTGAGGAAACTCCTTTAATTAAATTTAATTGAGCTTGTGTACGAAATGGCAAGACCTTCATTGTCTTTAACCGACTTAATTTGCCGTGCGCCGATAGGATGTTTGTGAAACACAGGAGAACAATGCAGTTAAATTTTTTATGACTATCATCAAATTCAACAATTAGAAAAAAAATATTTAATATATTGTATGTAGCGAAAAGTTTTTTTTTATATCTTCTATATATATATATATTGTTTATATAAACTATATTTATGTATGAACAATATTTGGTATATACCAGACGAATATTTGAAAGCACTCGATACCGTTAGCCAGGGAGTTCAAAGTTGCTGCAACTTAAGGTTGAATGTCAGTAATAACGGGCATGAGTTTTGCTGGGTCCGCTGGGTGGGCTAAATATTTCAAGATATTCCCGTTATCGCGCCTACCATCTCAGGGATTTTACGTATCAACAGTGCGAGCATCGGGAGACGCACGCAGGCTTTGGGGCGAGCATCAAATGCGCCGCGCGATGTTTATTCTATCGGGGTATCAGCGTTTTCGCGCACAAAGAAATGGCAGAGATCCGCGTAGGTGTACGAGTACCGATACTTACGTGTTATATTTTCCGGTTGTTGCTGCCCACGCTCTCGACTGTCTCTCGCCCTTCGTACGCTCGCGAGCAGCGTATCACTCTGCCCGAGGACGACTCGTATACACCGCAGCCACGTACGAATTTTCGTATTTGGCTGAGATCACGTTTGGATAAAATGGCAGCACGGATCCCCTGCTGACGTCGATATATCCGCCCTCCGCGCCCGGCGCAGACACAAATACACGCTCCATGAAGCAGCTGGGCACACGGATATATATCCCGTCTTACATACAAATACCTGCAGGTATACCTGCCCAATACGCTTTCCTTCATCACCGCGCCGTCACGTATGCGGCAGAGAAATGGTTGAACTGGAGCCGGGACCGAAGTACGAAATAAAAACTTGAGCGGCTGCTGTCTAAATCGGACAGTCTAGATCCGCTGCAGGAGGATTTTTTGATTAAAGCTCCACATCGAAATTCAGGCATTATGCATCAAGTTGCACTCTAATCCACATTGATTCAATGTCCCAATCTTCGCAATTAATGCCTGACCTCCCACCGTGTTGAATGTTCACACCAGATATGCACACCAGTGTTGACTTCAATCATTGATATTACACAAAATGCAACAATTATTGTTTAAATTGACGATGAAAAGCAGATATCAGAATACCAGAGGGTTGTTCTCGTTATGTGGGTCACTGCATGAAATAAGAATAGGACTGTCTCTCACGGACACGGCGTTGTATGTATTCCCATATAAAGATTGGATGCTAAGAACTTGCGCAGGCGGAAACCACACCCCGTCGTCGCGGAAGAATAGACAGGAAATTCAATAAGAAAGATATTTTAACAGCAACATCAACGAAGCATAGATCGATATTCCCTGATGTTGACCTCTCCGAGATGCCTAAGCGAAATATGCACATGATAACTAAGAATGTATGCGGGTATACATATACATGAAAGGATATTACTGGTAGAGTAATATTCTTCCTCTTTCTCCATCTTCTTATGTTCGTTATTTTTGCACCATGTTTCAATAGACGTGGCAGATGCCCCTAACAAAGGTAAAACGACAACAATTCATCTGGACATAGACTAAAGTAACAGCGAATGTTAGAACTGTGAAATATGAGTAAAAGCAATTTCCCATGTTCATGCCGAGAATACCGTCGTGTATCGATTTCGCATTCATTGAGATGTATAAGCTTTTGCAAATGTGTACGCTTTTCTCTGCAAGCAATCGTTCGATTTCATGAGGCCATTGAAAGAGCGACTAATGGTTACCCACAGACGGAATAATTAAAGCGGATATAGTTTTTGAAAAGAAAAAAGTATAAACTGTACAAAAAAGTGAACAAACACTTTTTGGTATGGTGCTGCGTGTAAAACATGGCGACGTTTGAACATGACAGCTGTTACGAATAACCTCAAAGAGATATTTCAGAAGTTGTAGCTTAAAACAGAAGTTTCAAGACTTATGATTCCAGAAAAAAGAATAATATTTTACGCAGCCTGTATCCGTGCAAAGTTGACCCATATACAAGCTTGCCCGTCAAACTTGTGTTGTGTATATACTGTAAATGTTCAGAAATAATATCTTTTCTTTGTTCATTCAATGGAAAACGTATTCTTTGGATATGATAAAGCATTCGCGGAACAAGAAATATTATGTTAAAGATCTAGGTAAATATATTTTTTGTTCATTTAGATATATTTTTTGAGTTGTTACTTTACGACATGCAAAATGAAGTTGATGTTAAATTAGTTGTATTTCCATATTTCTATTATCGACTGCGAAAGAACTTATGATATGTATATATGACGGAATAAATTCTAAAATGTTGACAATTATACGGTTTATAAAAGTAGATTTTACTTTCTTTTGTCTAGTCATTTTAACTGGATGAAATTTCATTTGTAATGTACTAATATACATATATTGTACATTATATAATATGATATAAAAGAAAACAATCAGCTGAAAAAATGTTATATCGTATGTACCTGTCGTGTTTAAAGAAAACGCGAGAAAAACGGTGAATCTAAATTTTTCTTCGTAATGTCATTTTGCTATCGTCGATATAAACTTAAACGGCAGAAAAAGAAGACAAGAACCACGAGAAAACCACTATCGAATAAAAAATCACTGTTGAAGCAACATATAACAAATTTGTTGCAACTATATTAGGATTTAAAGAGCTTTTATCGAATAATCACACACTAGTTTTTCGCGTACAAGTAAATAAAATCACCGCTGTGAAATCTCCTGTATAAATATCTTCATGTTATGCAGCATATGGTGGAATATATATGTCGATCTCGTATATCACTGTATCCGAAACATCCGTATTCCGCGAACTGCGAAAGCAATATGGACGAAAATATCTTTAAAAGCTAAAAGTATATGTGTGTATATATATATATATATATATACGTTTCTCCATTTTCTTTTCTCCCTCCTCTGTCCATTTCGTTCTACCTGCTTCTATTTTTCTCGGTCTCGCACGACGTGGCTTCTCCGTCGTATTCGGAGACAGGTATTGCTTTCTATTTCCCAAAGGGACATCGGGTCAATTTCAGATCACAGGACAGAGATCATAGGGCATACAGAAGCAAATATACGTCGGCCATTTTCGGGGCTGACCAGGAGCTGACAGTGAGACAGGGGTTGGAGAGGAAGTAGTTCCGACGTATCCCAATTTCCACAAAGTACAAGATATGAAAGGTCTCCTCGGCAAATATCATTGATCGAGCGCCTTTCTTTTACGTCGCAGAAACGGAACTGTCTGAGTCGTTAATTAAATTTTTTATTATTCCATAAAGTTCTTTACTCGGAACGGATAAATTCATTTCGACGAGTTTCTTAATGCACTTCGTCCCTAGTAATTTTGGCAATTTCTAAAACTGTGCAAATTGGAGAGAGTGATCTGAGAGATGGAAGAAACTGGAAGGAGATAAAGCAATTCTCCGTGGATCCCAATTCCGCAAAGTACGGAGGATTTTTGCTCGTACATAAGTGATCTAATACATTTTTGCAAGGTAGCCTCTGTCCCATCGCGCTTGTTACGACTGTCTTCGACCAGGAACTTTACTTTGTTCCCTACGGACGCTGACATTTTGGTAAGCAACCATAGAAGATTACTGTATTTTTATTACGCGAAGTCGACAAGTACTTCAATCGAAGCAGACAACGATCCTCGTGATTATTTGCGTGCATATATGTGTTTGTGTAAGAGAAAAAGTCTTCATTTATAGCGAAGTAAACCAATTCTGACATAATCAAAATACAGCATTAATACTACTTAAATCCGTTATTAAAAAAATTGCAGTCAATTAATCTGCAGATTGAAAATGCCGAGGGAGTCGTGCTATCATTTTCTTATCTCGGGGTTAGCGGGTCATTGCAATCGTAAAAGTGACATATAGGTGTTCTTGACGGGGGCACGACGTAGTCGAATATATATATACAAGCATTGATGTATTATGGCACCAAATCACCGTGCAAAATATTAGCAGGGATGGCCAATGGTGAAGTGGAGAGAATGCGTATATATATAGTCGAACGAATTTAATTAAATGTGTTTTCGATACGATAAGAAATTACTTTCCGTTTTATGTAGAGGCGCTGTGAAGCTGCTGCATTTCGATTGGTGGAGCGTGCAGGTCTTGTCGATTATCAAACTACCAACCACGTATACGCCAGTGTTATCGCACAACCGGCCATATTGGATGTTATAGTTTCAATCCGTTTATGCACATTAGATATTCGCAAAATTTTCGTAATGTATTGGCCGATCGTGGAGAAAATTTTTCTTTCTGTAAGAATATTAAGTTATGTGATAACTTAATCTTATGGGCGATATGGAGATTAAAATGAATTGTTCTTCATGGAGGTTTAATAGAGGTTCACTGGTAATTTACTTAATATTTCGGAAAAGAAACCTTTCATTGCACCAATTGTATTGAAGTTTTTCATTTTTCGACGCACATGTAATTAGTTGAAGGTTTTAATCCGTGGAAGCATTTCTTGAATGAGAAAATGTGCTCTCATCGCCACCTGATAAGGCGACATAACAGCCTATAACTATCGTATCTGACTGCAATAAAGTTTACATTCAGAATATCATACCGTCACGTATAAGAACTGCTGCCCCAACGCGATCCGTCGCAGTGAGGACTTTAGACGACGGCGATAGGTATCAATATCGGATCAGAACCACCCAGATTTTTCCCAACTTAATGACTTCACCCACCGCCTGACTCCACGGCGAACTTATTCGACTTATTTTAAAGTGGCTGAAGAGATCGGAGTCAGCAACTTTTCACATAGCCTCTCATCGTCTCCGGGTAAGATTTTTAAACGTTGCATTTTTCCTGAAGCTTTCTCCCTTGTTACTTGTCTTTCTTGCACTTTTGGCATGTGCCGAAAGTTTTGAAATAAAAGAAAGCTCGAGAGCTACGAACTACCAGCTCTTCCGAAGTGAAATTTTATCCCTCTGTTAGTCAGGGAAAGAATTTATCGACCTAACGGTATCAAGTTAGATGAAATAGAAAACATTTTTGTGAGTGGACACAGGTATTTTTTGTGCAGATCAAAAGGTGTAGCGACAAGCTTCTGTTCCATTTTTTCTCATCGCGTCCGTCTCGGTAGTGTCATGTATTCTTCTTCTAGGGAAAGGGTTATGTTGTATTTTTTGTCCGATTTCTCCTGGTTGTTCGGAAGCCGCCGCATCTTCAATGGCGCAGATATTAACTTCAGCTCGTTTTACTTTACGGTCTAGCTATTCTTTCGAAAAGTTCAAGGGAGATATTCGTCCGCGATCTCTCTTGGACTATAAATTTTTCCTAGTTTTCTCTTAAATCGCGCCTCTATGCGCTAGGTATCTCGTCGTGGTTGTGATATTGTGTTTCTACAAAAGCCGATACTTAATTCGACAATATATCGGTTTTAGATGGATGTTACTTGATATTAGATGTTTTATTTTAATGTCGTGTAGAAAATGGTGCATAATATATATTTTCATTAATTCTGAACCTTCAAATCCACAAATTGCTTATTAATATATCCAATATGTAGTTTGTACTCGTTCCCGCAAATATCATTTATATTTCATGAAAAATCTTGGCTTCATGTTACTTTTATATTTCGCTATAACGTAACAGCGAAAAGGATGGTGGTATATACATATATATACACAATACCATATCTTTGAGACTATAATATTTGATCCTAGTCGGATTATCTTGGGAATACAGCCCGACCTTTACAGAAAGCAGGCTTCCAACATTTCTTTGCTTCCGTTTACAGCACCGAGGTATAATTTATACTTCTATTATTGCGCATTTCTCATCATCCGGCTGTAATAAGTCCTCTTCCCTTAAATCTGTCTCCGTTGCATTATGAAATGAGACACGATCCGAAAACTGAGCGAACCACAACGAACAGCAGAACAGGCGCATGCATTTTGTGGGAGGAAAAAAAAAAACGTACCGTGTGCAACGGGATCGATCGGCTCGACTAACCCTCTCTCATTCGGAGAACCATACATGTACGTGCGTCGCATAGAATACGGTCGCAAATATCGCGTCGAGCAAGCCGGTTCCGAATTTATAAACTTTGCATGTGCAATATTGCGTGAGATTGCCACGCGTCCTCCATCCGCGCCGCTTGATTACGTCAATTTACTTTCATGCAGTTGTTGCATGGCCCGCCGTTGTCCGCGACGCAGAATATTATTCTGTGCTCTACGGGTGTGCACCACCATATATACACAGTGTGTGTGCAATGTCGGTCGACTGAAAATTCGACGGGCGAGGTACATGCGCATCGCTACGTCTCGCCCCACTCGATACGATGCGCGCGCGCAGAGCGCGTGTGTGCTACGCGTCCCCGGCAACGATCGTTCCTCTCACACGCCTGGAATTCGACCGGACAGAATGCGCGAAATGCAACGGGAGAGAGAGAAAGAGAGAGGGAGAGAGAGAGAGAGAGAGAGAGAGAGAGAGAGAGACTGGCGAACGAGTGCGACCGCAGTCGTTACTTTCATGACGTACGAAAAACATTTCGAAGAATTACGCAGGCTGGCTAGGCGCGGAGGGAGAGCGAATGATGAAAGTTCAACGCGTTCCACCGCTGCTTATTACGTCGACCAATTTATCTCTTTATAGTGTGTCTGCCAGACTGCTGTTTTCATACTGTTCGCTGTAAGACGCGGAAATAACGGCGAATGTAGAGAGGGGCTCCGGCAAAAAAGACGTGATCCCCGTAGGACGAGGAGAGAAAGAAAAGAAAGCAAATGGATCCCGACGCGCGCATGTCTCATATGCCGACGCGCCCTTATGTCGGAGCCACGAAAACGGGAGATCCAAGATGTTACACAATATCGATTTCGTCCATCGTTTTTCTTCGCTGTGAACCCGCTTTCCGCCCCGTCTGCGTTTCTTTTCGCGCTCTATAGTGTTTTATCAAGCAGCGTCTGTCCGTGCGTTATTCCGGTGAATTTAACTTTGTCGAGTCGATTTCGTCGTCTTCTTCCCTGTATATTTCTAACGTTGTATATTTCTCGTGTTTGAATTCTCCTTTAAATTTTCTTCTGAACTCGAAACAAGCCAAAAATACGCACATTGCAATAATGCGAGCTTTTTTAATATTTTCATGTAAATATGCGAACTTGTTAGGTATAGCTCGGTATAAAATACGCCCCGTGTGAAGACGTTAATGAAACTTCCGTAGCAACAATTTTTCATTTTATGATAAGAATCACGGCACCCACATGCAGGTATTGCGTGCGCGTATCCGTCTTATGTTCAGACTCGCGTTTCCTTCTTCTCCGTACATATGAACTTATGCCTACGCGAGCGAACGAACTTACAACCCACTTAGCCTTTTGCAGCTTGATATTTTATATATCTTCATAATCGTAGATCATGCGCCGCTTAAATAATTATTGACCGATACTACCCCGCAGCCTTGTATAAATAAAACCGTAATGCAATGTCTTAAAATGTCGCGATAAAATATCGTAGGATGTCTTAATGTTCATGTAATATATTCTACGAGGAATTTATATCGCAGGTATTAACGTGCGACGTGTTCAATTACGACTAGGAATGTTGTGTCGAAGCTTAGTATCGATAATGATATCGAAGAAATATTGATTCTCTATCGAGATATTAGACAAACACAGCGTGGATTTCTTTAAATGTTGAATAGTTTCGAATTTATCAAGCTCAAGTTTAATAGTTATTGTTTCATCGTATGAAAGGGCTAAAATGTAACATACTGTACTCATATAATAGTATAATCGTTGTCAAAACCTGAGCATTTTTTAAAATTATTAAATACAAACGTATATTCGAAATATTTTGTTACCGAAATACCAATAGATTCGTTCCGAGTGGAATAATGTTATTGGTTGACGTCTTAAATCACATTAAGGACTAAGCTATGCATACTCGACTGTTTTACATATACATCCACAGTTATCAGAAGTATGTATTTTAAATTTTAACCAAGACAATAGAAGATATGAGTGTTTTTTGTGGACGTGGCGTCACGTAAGAAGATGCCGGAGAAATCCCGAAGAGATTGGTCGAGAAGTCGATAATACGCAGAAGCAGAACGGGGGACATTGTGGTGCCTGTTGCAGCCAACCATGGCCGCCCAGATATTTTTTTCTATACTTTCGACTGGGTCTCATTCTCGATTTCCCTTCCACCTCTCCTGCCTCCCTGGCGTCTACTACTTTGTTTTCTTAGCGCGATAGTTGCCTGCAAGGCAGAGTGCAGGCAAAACGGGTAGGTGTGAATGAGAATCGATTGGGTTGTCTTGATGGGTGCATCTCGGCTAGGATAGTACATAATCAAAAGTACAAGAGCAACGAGCATTGTGGCTCGACATGTAAACACAGCAAAAGAATTCCTATATATCTGGTGTGTCTCGAGAATATTCGTCGCTGGTGTATTTGATTTAAAAAAAAACGCAACTTGAAGATACGTCATTGACCATTCACGAGGTTCAAGTGATAAAAGATACGAACGTGAGATGTGATGAAAAGGAAATTATTTATTTTATCTACAGAAAACATACGCATACGATAGAAGTTATACAGTTCGGAAAGATCACAGATTATATAGAATCCTATATTAAAGTCTTGTTTTTTTACATTAGAGTCTCACAAGAATTTAATACTCTTTCTACAGTGAACGATTGTGCACATCGAGTATTTTTTCTTCAAACACACCCTGTATATCTTGTTTTGTTGAATGCATGAAAAACCGAAACTCCTCGTAAAGTCGCCACGAAGTACATCCAGCCTGTCTCGTGTCGCTGCACATGTATCCGAAAGTAAAACAGACACTTACGGATGAATGTGTGCGACACTCTTGCCCGCAGCAAGAGTTTATACGGTATGCGGAGTTACGCAAAACATCAGTAAAGTTAGGGGGATTCCCTTATTCAAAATACTTATTTAAGATAATTCCTAAGGATACTTTTACCATACTGTACTTGTAGAAAGATATCCTCAAGAAGTAAAAAGGAAAGGAAAAATAAGTTTCAGAGATATTCGGAAAATATTTAGCTCTTGTAATTGATATTGAGCTGAGTTTAGTCAGACAATCGACTAGGAAGGGAAGATGATGGAACATAAGTTTCTCACCTGTTGTATTAAGATCGTTGGTGGGCATAATCCTCCCTTTTACTGCTATAATAACCAGTAATCTTAACTTTCTTTTGTAATGTTACATATTACAGCGGTTTAAGATATATATACACATATGTTTTATAAGTAATCAGTCTGATACACTTGGTATATCTGCTTTTTTTTTTCATGGATGCGTCTTGCATTTTAGTGTTCACGTATTCACGCATATCTTCCACAAATGTGGAAGTTGTCCACTTAGATACAGTCATACTATAACATTGCGGTACTCGCCCTTCTGTGCCGCGTCTCTTCGAGAAAACTCCTTAAGCTGTAAAGCGGCGTGTGCACTTTCGTAGGGGTATAAAGCGAAACGTGTCGGTAAAAGAATTGCCGGTATGTGTTACTACGTCGGTACGCCCGCACAGCTAAATATGTCGGGTGGTATATCAAAGTGCCGCGTATTTCTTGGAAAGCCTAGCTTCCGCCGGAATATGCCGGAAAGTAAAGAGTTATGAGTGGTTTTTGATCCCACTTATAACAGGAGTTATCGTGAAACAACATCAACATTTCTTCAGGCAATTCGCGGTATCAACATACTTTGTATATTTTTCCTTTTCTCTCCCTCTCTCGTTTTCTCTCTATCTTCTTTCTCTTTCCCTGCCTTATATATTATACGCCTTATATAATAATTAACATTTTTAATCGAATATTAGCGTTTTAATTGTACAATGCATGAAAGAATGATATAAATATAAGTAAATAGATATTTGCTCGACACACATACATTTCACATGGGTTTCTATGCATTCCTTAGATAATTTACGAATTGTAAATATATAAGAGAGCACCGGGACAATTGAGTATATGTGTATATAGCGAGGTAATCATCGAATTATCAGAATTGGAACTCATAAATTTGCAGGATAGCTTCTGTGTTCGTTATATGCAAGTGGCCGACGGTAGACAATGCACTTGTTCGTTCGAATCGTAAATTATCGGTGCTCGGTGATAACGTGAATGCAATCATATGATCATGCTCTTGATCCAATTGTTTTTATAGGTCAGCTGTTATCAACGTCGTAACGATAATTGAATAGCAACGGCAGCAAAACCTTACCCCGAATATTACAAAAATCGATGTACATAGAACAGTTTTTTATATATTGTTTATAATTTTTATATTTTTTATATTTCCGAAATAACGCACATAATTTTATAATAATTAGAATGATATCACTTGCTTGAAATAATTGTAGAAACGTTCAAAGATATGATAAATAATGTCTTTCTTTGTTGCTGCTGATTTATAGTTAGGTTATGATATTTATAGTTATCATACGCGACGCAAATTGTTTCGTAAAATGCGACGCTGTGTGTGTAAAAGCAACGTTTTGAATTAAAATTCAGCTTGTGAATGGTTAGCAACCGAAAGCAACTTTGTTCGATATCGAGCATTACATTACAATGCCGTTTTCGACCACGGTAGCGCCCCGCCTTGACCGTGGCTTAAGAATGTTGGTCGATTACAATGCAACGCTGGTTGGGATCCAGGTAATCGAACGAAAAGCATGATTCGCGGGAACTGCAGGCGGTTGCTGATCACGATCACGATCACTTTGTAGCTGGGTGGGGACGAATGATACTAAGCGGGAAGGATTTTCATGTCTTTCGTAAAACTTGCAGAAAAGTTGAGGCTAGCCTATCTTCTACATTTGTGCTAAGCTTGGTCACGCGTGTCCTAGTTGAATAAATCTGGTCGACTGCCTCGATTGTGAATACTTAATGTGACATAATTGATATATTTATTTATTTATAACGTAACAAAGTGAATTATAGTTAGTGATATGCGCGAATTTAACGTAAGTTCCTCGCTAATTTTATATATATTACGTGAGGAAACACATGTGCACACATAATATACTTATTTCAATAGATAATATTTAAAATAGTGTGTGAACGTATAAGCTTGTGTTAGAATCTTTCTGATGCTAACAATAAAGTTTGTAAAATTTATAAAACTTTGTGTGAATCCTAATATATATAGTGCCATAATTTAAAATAAAATGTCCGTGGAGATATAATCCGTGGAGATATAATCTAAATATTATATTTCATAGTTGTAAATGTAATATAAATATATTAATGTTAAAATGATATATAAGTATATTAAGTAAATATTATTTGATTGTTACAGACTTACAAAATAACAACAATTTGGTGGCTTAGCATCTTGTGGGTAAGTTAAAATATATATTTTTCTTTAGTTGAATACGGTGACGGAATATGATAACGGATAAAAAGTATAAGCCAACTATCAGTCAATTTTGTAATGAATAGAATAGCGTTGATAAGTCCAGAATTAGTATTTAACTATAATTATATTTTAATTATTAACTTCTTAATATATTAATGCCATTTTTTAAATTTATAAACCATGTATTATTATACGTTTAATTATTATCAAAAAATATGATCACTATTATGTATTGTTTTCCGTTTACGATATTTTTTACCCTGATATAACAAAGTTATACTGAAGTGACATGGGAATACCGAATGCTTACATATGACTTGGGGGAATCTCGTTTTTAGCAACGTGTTGTGTTAGAATTCTCGACGCAATCTGGCGGTTTGTGCCGATTCGATGTTGGGCCGGATAAACATAAAACATGACGTGGTGAAATATAAAGGAACGTCGTATAACAAAGATACGTTGTAGCAATACTAACAAGTTGAGAAACCAACCCCAATCGTGATCCTGGGTCTATGTCGTTATGTTTAGTATATGTACATAACAAATTTATTACTTTTTTCTCTTCAATTCGTATTATTATTTAACGTTGCAGTATTTTCTATAAACTTCACACTACTATTTTTTAAAACATTAGTTTAATACAATCTTAATTTTATTATATCTACAATATTATATTATGTATGTGAACAATTTTTTCGAATTTTGATAGTAACATAAGAAACATTAATTTTCTTTCTTTCCCTCAAAAACTATATTATGCAGGAAAATTACTAATTTTATGTGATAATCTATAACAATTACAATCTATTCTGTTATTGAGTAGATGAGGACTGTTTTTAATATTACCTGACTTCACTCTCTCTATAATATAATGTAATTTAATTTAATCTAACTCAAGTAACCTAAATAATCCGATAAAGTTTGTTCCTTCATTTTGTACCTTTCTAATTTACCCGCTTAGTTTACCGAGAAAAGGAAAGAGAAAAAAGGAATACATAGAAGACAGTAAATCTGTGTGTGATGAAAAACAGTCAAAAATGAATATCTGTATATATTGATTTTTTTAAATACCTTCCTCTGAAGAAAAGTTTCTAAAAATTGTTTTATGGTGTGAAAATATTCATCTCTTTAATTAATATTCAAGAAAGAAAGAAAAACAGCAAAAGCTCTCGGCAAAGTTATAAATTTAACGTAACAAATGAAAGTGCTGCGAAGTGATTTCATCTCGTCAAAGTCTTATTTGAGCTGAATCGAATTCTAAAGAAGCTTGAGATGTTGGATTTACTTTGCTTCATTTAACAAGTTGGGAAAGAGTAGAGTACTTCAGAAATTTTTGCTTAATTAAACGAAAAGTAGCAATAGTAATTCCGTTTTAATGTTTGTTACCAAGAATATTCTTGCTCGGGATTAAATTAAACTGGGGAATTCCGTTGGATATTAACGTCGCTTATTAAATATATATATGAAATTCATATGAAATTAGGCATCTAAATAATTTAACTTATTTAAAGTTATTAATTCCGAGATACAATTTAGAACAAATATAATCAGAAGTATTGATCGATGAGCGTTCTTCGTAAAATGTAACATATATCAAACAAATGCTATATAATTATATAATGTTTCATATTCTTTTGATTGTATGTCTATTATTTATTTTTTACAAGATAATTATAGTGACTGATAATCTTCACATATTATATAAAGATATACAAAGGTATACAAATTAAAATATTTTTTTTTCACAAGAACTACCATGACATTATCGGAAACTTTATATTAAAGTGTCTATTTTCTTATACAAAATGATATGGCGGCTATATTCACCGCAGTGTTTTGATATGGTCAAGATTGTACGACCGACGCTTCCTTCGGTTGAAGTAGTCTCGTTAGGTTGGGTCTTCTGATGAAACGTTGGCATCCCATACATGTCGGTACAGTGGAGTTCCGCATTGATCGGCCGGCACCAAAAGAGCTTCGCTCTGATTGGCCAGACTTCACTGTATCCTTGTTTCACTGAAATGTTCTGCTTCACGCGGAACAAGGATAAACATATTCGCGGCGTTCGTTGATTAAAAAAAGAAGACTTACATTGTGTACGAAGAAAAAGCGGTACATATCGACTTATAAGATGAAGAGAAGAGAAATCTTGCAGAGAGAAAGTAACAATTTATAGCATAAACGGTAAAAAGAGATATAAGTTAATAATAATAGAAAGTAAGTAATGGAGGAGAAAACATAATATTATCTCTCCATATACTAATTAATAAACATATCAATATAAATTATAATATTAAATTAACAAGAACTAGATCGCGATTATCTTGATATTTTTTCTTGTTAATCGTGATTATAAAATTACATGAGTAGCGTAATATTTCGTAGTCATTGAATTTTCGTATTTTCGTCGTTATCCTTCAGTGTATTTTGCATCGAAAGTACTGTCTCTTTTTATTACATTTACTATTGAAATTATATGATCTTATATGATCTTGCGGGAAACAAATGTGCGAATACCACGGTAGGACTTGCTACTGTATAAGGCACTCCAATGAATTAACCGGTTAATCGACGTTCTGCATCGGCAATATTTGCCCTTCCCCCTCCTCTTTCCTCCTCTTTTAGCTCGCATTTTATCTCCTTCCTTTTTTCTTTTTTTTTTTCCATTTTCATCGCTTTGCAGTAGAATCCAACATTGACAGTTGCACTTGCAACAACGTCGAAGCGTATATTATAGCCAGCGTAATAAGCCTTATGGTAATCAGACATGCCTCTGCATCGGAGTGGCGGCACCTTTGTGTGTTCTAATCGCTTCAGCCAATCTTGCAGCGGTTATAATACGAGTGCCCGCACGAAAGTTCCAGACAGATTTAAAGGAATCATGAGCTTCAATCAGAAGCTATCCGAATTACTTTTTTGATTATCTATAGTTATCGGTCTATGTATGAGTAATGTAGCACAACGGATGTACAATATTTATAAAACATAAAATTTTCCTTTAACACATATAAAAATTATCGTATATCAAGCAAAAATTGAATCTGATTTCATATTCTATCTATGTCGTATCACGCAGTCCTCAAATTATACGAAACAGGCTGTTGCCCGCCAAAATATATTTGCTCCGAAATCCGCTATCGTACGTGCACTGAGTCCCTACCTAGAACCTTTTATTGATTAAATGTAAACGTACGAGGCACTCGGTGCACGTGGCGCCATCTTTGGACAGAATCTGTAGTCAATTTTCAACGAAGGCTCTCCTGGAGCTTCGTGTGTGAGAAACGGTGGATGGAATGTGGCAAAAGGGGCAGGGGAGAACCAGGGTGAAGTGGGTTGAGACCAGGCGAGACGGGTCAACCAGTCCAGACCAGTCGGTCGCGCCCCAACAACCCTTGTCCGACCCCTGGAAACCGAACGTTTGAGGGGGAGGGGGAGGCGACTAATATCGATCCGAACATCCATGTTACACGATTCATAACTACTTTGAGGTATACACCCGGGAGTTCATTCCAGACAATAGCCAAGATTCTGCGTCTTTCGAAGATGGTTCAGTTAGCTTATAAGACTATTGTGAGTAGTGTGTTAATGAACATGAATAAATGTAAATATAATGTATAACTCCCTTTTCTTTGGATAAACTTCAATCTAAGAAAGTGGAAATGTGAAATAACTATTCTATTCATAAGAATATTTGCAAAGTATTCCTTTGAGATGGGATTTTCGAATTTGGTGCTACGTAATTTTTATACACATAATTTCTTAAAACGATTATATAAAATACTGAATTTTTAATATTCACATAATTCTATCTTTTAATTAATTTACAGACTGTTATGATAACAATTTTATCAAAAATTGTAGATTCACTTTAATGCATTTTATTAAATACATTTATATTTATATAGATTAAATGTAGATTTAATCCAAAAGCTTACAGTACGAAAATATAATACAAAAATGTTCGGCTTGAAAAAAAGCCTCAGATCTTGTTCTCTCCCTCTCTCTGCTTGTGAATTTCTTAGAAATACACAATGTCGAGAAGGACTTTGCGAATGTTATATATTTAAATGACCTTGAACTTAAAGCTCATGCAGTATTGAATACGAGGATATATTTCTACGTCTATATATGTGGCTTCACGTATGTATATATAACACACTGACATAATCCGGATACACGGAACTCTCGATTGATTCGGTCCAGCGTAAGCTTCCGCGTCGTGTAACATGGATAGAAGTAAAAGCTTAGGCAACTAGTGGCTAGATGGCGACACAAATCAGTCGTTGTCATGAAGCCTAAGTGGTCCAACCAGAAACCGTCTTTCGTAATCGAGGACATGGCGGCAGCATGGCTGCGTACATCGTTATTACTCCAGGCACAATTTTTGGTAATGCATTGAATTTTTCGTTTATTTCATTCAGCCGTGAGCATTTATAAATCGTTTGAAAATACGACAGTTTTCACTTGTAGGATACGTCCTAATCATATCTTCGATTAGTTTCAGCTTAAACTACGCCGTGAAAAGTATCATATATTTAATATATTGAGACAAATGCGTTTATTATACGCAAATTAATCGGTTTTGTGATACATGTGTTAAGAAAAAATTTTGTGTACTTCAATTACAAAAGTTATATGTGAAATAAATAATAACATGTGGTGTTCTCATAGTGTTGGTGCATCAAAGTGTGTTAATCAATAAATAGCCAATATGAAAAATGAAATTTTGCTAAGTTCTCTAAAATTTTCGAGTAGAAGTAGTTGTGAAATGCGGTATAGTCAATTTTCAAGGTCATTTTAATCATTCATATATAAAAAGCGTTGTTTCAAGAATCTGCTTCGGAAAAACTTTTCTTAAATGTGTGTTGAACAATTTTATCCCATTATATTTTATTATAATATCTTAATTATATGTTCTATTTTATTATCTTGTTGATGATACTCCACTTATGTAAAATTAAATCGTGAAGCAACACCCAAGA